AAAAAAGATAATTATCTTTAATAAATATAATAAAAAAAATAAATAAATCTCAATTATTAAAAAGAAAAAGATAAGTAATCAAAATTTTTGTACCTCCATTTCCTTGTGAATCATGTCATGATGAAACAGCCTAGTCATGGCTTGCTAGTATGTCAACTCAACATTCTTTAGATCAAACGGCATCACTTTGTGATAAAAGATTGCTTCCTATTTGATATGGTGATAAACATTACTTTCTCTCAATCTTCACTAGACATATAAATATAATATGTAAAATTTATATATAATTGAATTTTTACTCGCAATAAATCAAGAAAATACTTGATAAAGACTACATATATCAAATTCTTATCCACTTAGCTGTGGCATCATTTCCTCAATTTTTTTTAGAAAAAAAAAAAAACCCAGTTGAAGGTGCAATGGTGGCAGCCCAGTTGAGTTTACGCTGTCATATTTGGGCCCTAATTGATTTGAAAACCCAAGCCCAAATCATCAGTTTTTGGGTTGGGTAGGTTCTAACTAATTGGATCCTGACTTATAATGATCTCTCTCTCTCCCTCCGTTTCTAATTTGGTTAAAAGTAAGTTATTTACGTCACAGTAACTATTGATTTTTTATACCGAAATCTTGCAATTTTAGAGGATTATAATTATGATAAAGTTCTTTTCACTCAATAAGTAAGCATAAATCAGTGTGCATTGTATTTACTTGTTTGAAATTATATGTCTATTGTAAGATTTTCCTTTTTCTTTTGCCACAACCCTTCTCTCATATTTTTGGTTATTCCACTTGTATGCCAACTACTCGAATTGATAAATTTTTCCTCTATTTAAAAATGAAATTACCATCAAACCACTTAGTTAGTTAGTGTTTATTGTAAGATTTAATTTTTAAAAAATATTATGCGTAAATCAACCTTGTTTCTGTTAGGATTAGAAACTTACTAAGTTGGAAACCAAAATTACCAACCACTGTAAACCAACTTCAAAGAGACAAAAGTTTTGCCTATAATTGAGCCGCATAATCGGTAATCATATTTAGACTACTTTAAGTTTTTGCCTTTATAAGATTTTATTACTTAGGGCTGAATCAAAGAGTATTCTTCAAAGCAACTGAAGAAAACTTGCAAACTACTACTCTTTTCCTTATAGGCTTTGCCCTCGCTAAAATTATATATATAGCCTTTTATTTTATTAAATTTGAAAATTTTAACCCCTTAACTTATATTATGAAGTTTTTAACCTTTAAAATTAAAGGTTTAAAGATTTTAACCTGTAAACCAACGAAATTTTTTAACTCTCTATTAAAATGAGAATAAAATATTTAAAGTATCAATCCTTAAAAATTAAAAATGTAACAATTTAGTTCTAAAAATTTTAAAATTAAAAAAAATAGTAAACTAAAAAAAATTAATGGATGATTTTCTCACATATACTAGAATAGTATTATATATTTCTAATTAATCAAATCAAGTGATTAACTCAATTTGAAGAAAGCATTTTGATTGTGTTTAAAGAAAATTTATTAGCTAAATTAAGATTAAAAAGTTTAAGAGACAAGAAAAATATAGCCAAAAAATTTTCTTTAATCTTAACTAAATTTATTTTTTCAAATTGAACTAATCACTCAATTTGATTGTAAATATCTAATACTATTCTCATGTATGTGACAAAATCATCCATTAATTATTTTTAATTTATGAATTTTTTTAATATTTAATCTTTTGAAACTAAATTATTATATTTTTAATTTTTAAGGACTAATCATGTAAATATTTTATTCTCATCTTAATGAAGAGTTAACTATTGCGTCAGTGTAGGGACTAAAATCTTCAAACTTTTAAATTTAGAAATTAAAAATTTCATAGTAATGGTGGGGAGTTAAAAGTTTCAACCTAATAAGTTAAGGGGCTAAATGCATACTTTAACCCTTTTGCCCTCTCCTTTCAAATAAATAAATAAATAAATGTTGTACTTAGATACAATGCCGTGTCAAAGAAAAGATATCATATACCGGTATTTAGCATATTCTAGATAAGCCCATTGCTTAATTATGTTTGTTTGTCTGGTATTCAAGAGGTTAGAGCCCTTGTTAATAATATAAATAGGTTAGTGATAATTTTCTTAAGTTAGAAATAAGAAGTTTTAAAACTAATGACTTATTGGTTCGAATAGAAAAAACTCGATTCTCTTTAAATAAGATCTCGACTTTAAGTCTTGTGAGAGAAACAGGTATTGGGAGAGCGTCCTCCTTAAAAGGTTCGATTAGATTCGATTCCGGATTGGTTGAGACCCAATGTAGTTTTGAATATCGAGAGATTAATAAAAAAAACAGAAGTTTTAAATTTGAGTTACATGACATATGAGTGAAGTGAAGTAAGTGATGAAAGAATGTTGCATCTCATTGTATAACCAAAAAAAAAAAAAAAAACTCCAGGCCCTTAATTTGTTAAATAACAAATAACCTTATCTTATCTTGGAAATATATACCAATAGAAAGAAGACAATTTTGGTGATGAATTATATATATAACCTTTTATTTTTTTGGTATTAAACTCTTTAGTATTTAAAAACTGTATTGGATCCAACTAATTCTACTAACTTCTATTTCTCTTCAAAAGATTTAAACTTAAAATTTTATTTAAGGAGAATTGATTTTTTTTTTTTCAAATTATCAAATCATTGGTTATGTATCCACTTCATGACAATGCATGTATACCAAACATACAAAATTAAAATTTTATTTTATTTATTTATTTTTGAAAATGGCCCTCGAGCCAATTGTTTCCACAACCGTCCCCATTTTGGGACCGACACTAAGACGAAAACAATTAGCAGCTAGATTGGGTTTTTATGGCAGCCATATGCATGTGGAGTAGACAAGATTTTCCACAAGAACCAGTCAACAGTTGATGTTTTTCACGGTATTTCAATTTATTCAGGTATTGTGATGGATCGATTTCCATCTTTTTTTCTAGCTTCTTTCTTTTGCTATAATTATTGCTTTAAGTGATTATTAGTTTTCTTTTCCTTTTTCCTTTCTCCTTTTCATCTTTTTCTTTAATTTGCTTTTTTTTTTTTTTATTAATCATTAAAGCTGTCCTGGTCTTTATATTACGCTCGGGATTATGAAAGTTAATCAAGAATATATTTGCTTGATTGCTAGTAATTAATTAGACTACTATTGTTGGGGAAAGGGTTTCTGATCAGTCTTTTAAGTGAAAAAAAAAAAGTTTATAGATATATAGAGTTTTAGCCTCTAATTTTTTATTTTTTTAATTAGGTTATTCACAACAATATCTATATGACATTCAATTGATTGAATGTATACCAATTTGCATATCTCCATCAAGGAATGGTAGTTAATTGTCACCTAAATTAGCTATACTGTTGTTAAGGAATCTTTTTGAAAGAATAAAAATTTAGGGACTAGAATAATGTTTGCACTAAGCTGGTTAGTTGTTCTCTTCTCCTAATTGAATCAAAAGATTTAAAGATTCTAAGTTAGAGTCCTAGGCATGCATGTGAGATGAATAAAAGATGGAAGGGGGTTATCTGCAATCCAAAATTTTAAAAAATAATAAAAAAATCCACCAAAAATGCCTAACTATATATGGTTAAATCAGTTCCAAACAACCACACTTGGAATGTTTCTCATCAGGTTTAGTTAGGACTTAGGAGATACGTCTGCTTCAATTGATTATGTTGTTTTTTTGACTTTGCAAAGAAAATACTGCCTCAGCACGAAAGGTATAATTAAGGTGGTGGTCCAAAAATGGAACTGTCAATTCTCTATTTAATATTATAGTATATGATATTTTATAGCTAGATCTTAGTTAGGGGAGAAAAAATGTTGATAACCATATGAGTTTTGTTATTTTTTTATTTAAAAATATAAATTTTGTTACTTCTTATATAAAGGTATAAATTTTTAAATTTTTTATTTAAAAATATTAATTTTATGTTTTTTTATTTAAGAACTTATTAAATAGTGATACTAATGTGATAAATAAAATTTTTATTTATCTAATTAAATTTTAAATAAAAAAGCATAGAATTAACATTTTTAAATAAAAAATAAAAATTTATCATTTTATTTAAAAACTAATAAACTTTATCTTTTTAAATAAAAAATAATAAAATTAATATCTTTATTTACACATTTTCTCTTATTTAAGGCCTTAAACCTGTAGCCTGCTCGGCATCTATAAAAAGCAAAGTGATGTCCTGTTTCTTTTGCACATTAATTTCCAATACAGAGCAAAACAAGTACTCTAGTATTCACTTTCAAGATGAGGAATCATCTGTCCTTGTTGTTTTGCTTGTTAGCTTTAGGTCTTCTTGTGTGTTGCGAAGCCGGTAGCCTCAGGAAGAACTTCTACCAACACACCTGCCCTCTTGCCGAGAAGATAATCCAAGATGTTACAGGGAAACACGTAGCAGTCGACCCTGCTGTGCCCGCCAGGCTCCTCAGAATGCATTTCCATGATTGCTTTGTTAGGGTATAAAGCTTAATTTCTATATAAACATGCATGTTCATGCGTTCTAATTTAATCAATTTAGTATGAGACTTGATTTCAAGTTGAAACCTTGTATGTTTTAGATTAAAAGTTTGCAGTGTTTGAAAAATTACGGGATATCACAATACCCATTTCCTGTTACACAACCTATCATGTATATAAATCCGATTTTTATGATAATTCTCATATCACTGCCGAAAATTTCAGGGTTGTGATGGTTCCATTTTGTTAAACTCAACTGCAAGCAATACCGCAGAGAAAAGCGCAACTCCAAACCTGACCCTGTTAAGTTTTGATGTGATTGATGATATAAAAGCAAACGTGGAGAAGGCATGTCCTGGAGTTGTATCTTGTGCTGATATTCTTGCTCTGGCTGCTAGAGATTCTGTATCATTCAAAGTAAGTAAATAACCTTAGAACTCTTATGAATCAGAAGGGGACTCATTAATTAGCTCCTTAGAATATGTTTTTGTGAGGCATTTGTATATATATAACTAAATATATTTTTCAGTTTAAAAGACCCCTCTGGAAAGTGCTTACTGGTAGAAGAGACGGCACAATTTCACGAGATTCTGAAGCGATTGCCAATCTTCCTTCTGCTAAATCCGACTTCGCAGCGCTAAAACAAAAGTTCTCTACTAAAGGGCTCACCGTGCATGACCTCGTGGTTTTATCAGGCAGGTTGATTCTGGAGTTCAAACCCGTGCTCCGTATTACATGAAGTTCCTGTAACATACCAATTTATTTGCTTCTCGAAGTGCAGGGGGTCACACGATTGGAGTAGGACACTGCAACGCCTTCAGCAACAGGCTGTACAACTTCGAGGGAAAAGGCATTCAAGACCCTTCATTGAACCCGTCCTATGCCACTTTCTTGAAGACCAAGTGCCGTAGCACGAGAGACAACACAACGTTCGTGGAAATGGACCAGAATAGCTCTATCATGTTCGACAATCACTACTACGTCGGCCTGGAGCAAAACAAGGGTCTGTTCCAGTCCGATGCAGCCCTTCTTACTAACAAGGGCGCGCGCAACATCGTTCGCGAGCTCCTCAAATCGTCCAAGTTCTTCACGGAGTTCGCCCAGTCGATGGTGAGGATGGGAGCCATTGATGTCCTCTCCGGTAACCAAGGGCAGATCAGGAAGCACTGTGCTTTCGTTAATACCTAACTAATTAATTAAGGTGTGAAGAAGTTTCTATATATGTCACATTCAAGGGTGAAAGGAATTGAAAAGGAAAATATTATTTTTTATTAGATAGTTAACAATGTAAATATCAATAAAAAAAAATGTAATAATAATATTGTTTGATATCAATCTTAAAGGTTACTAATTTGTTTTGTTGCATTGGTTTGATTGAGCTGTGATTGAGCAATGAAGTGATCACTGATCAGGGCACCAAGGGCTGTGTAACTAAAGATTGAGTTGTCCAGCATCCGTTCGCTTTGCTTTATAATTTTTATTTTCTTCTTCTCTTTTTCAGATACTAGTGCCTTGCACGCTGCTATGCGGGGGTTGTTTCTGGTCATGTCATCATCAACCAAAATACATTAGAGCCCTAATTTTGCCCTTTAATTAACAGTCCCGTCTCTCACTGGGTTTCATGAATTTTCAGGCCTTTTTTTCAAGAGCATGACCATAGATCTCATCTTTTTTCCTTTTTTCGTT